ATGCTATATAAGGTAAGTGTTGCATACCAGTCATGGCACCTAGATGGCACTCTAGGGCCTGGCTTAAAGGGAAAGTTCCCCTGAAAATTAAAATTCTTTAATTAATTCTCACCGTCATGTCAATCCAAACACGCAAGCCTTTCGTCCATCTTCGGAACACAGATTAAGATATTTTTGATGAAATCTAAGAGATTTCTGTTCCTCCATTGACAGCTACACAACAACCACTTTGATGCTTCAAAACGTTAATAAAGATCATAAAACTAATCCACATGAATTGAGCATTTAGTCCAAATTTTCTTAAGAGAGACAGTTGCTTTATATGATGAGCAGATTTAATTTAGTTGTTTATAATGATAATGTACGTGAGTAAGTAAATTCCTTGGTATAATGTAGGCTATACAATCAACATGCTTTTTTAAACGAAAAAATAAAATAAAAATATCTTTGATGCATTTTTATTATAGAAAAATACTTGGTGCATGCTAGCTATGTTGAAGTGTTGCATACCAGTCATGGCACCTATGACACTTTTGACACTCAAGAAAATTCAGAAAAGGCATTTGTAAGCTATAATTCATGCTGTGTACTGCATCTTAAGTTTAGAAGCCAGAACCCCTTTTACATTTAATAGAAAATATAATTAACCATTTATATTACATAAAATGTTTAGGAATTTTTGTACATTTACAATGCTAATAACCATGGAAATGCAACATTACAGTCTGTAAATATCTCTTAACAACACAATGCAATCACTAGTAAGACTTCTGGTAAGAATCTATTCTGTATGGGACGGGGCATGATGGCACCCTCGTTAAAAAAAAAAAAAAATGGACGGGGGGGTTCAGGTGGATATGTGGTAGTCAGTGTTGGGAAAGTTTATAGTTCGTACATCACAATTTTGAACTAAGTTCACAGTTCCAAAAAATTAACTAGTTCATAGTTTTTTTCTTTAAGTTGCTGCAAGCTATTTTTTACCCGTACCACGGGGCGGAGCGTGTGATGTAATCACACAGCCAATTCCCATTGGCTCGTTCAATAGTACTCGAAGATAATTGGCTCCCTGGCGTGATCCCCATTCAGTTGATTCCCTCCATCAGGGAACGGTGGGTTGCATACGCAAAGATGTTCACGAAAGCTGACAGATATTTACTCTGGACAGAAGTAAAACTGGTACTACTGGTAATTAAAACCGAGAATTATCAGTCAAGCCTTTGACTATCATTCATGCAATCAATGAGGCTTCATGGTTCAATGAGGTTTTTCACAAAAATAAGTTTGTGAACCTGTCTCACCATCTTTTAGAGACACACTCAATTGTATTTTGAATAGGCTACATTAAATTTCACTCTTTTTTTATCAGATTAAATGGCATACTTTTGACATTTGTTCTTGGCATTCATGTGTTTAAATGCCAGCGGGTAATTCCTAGAACTTACTGGAAATGGAGTTTCATAGGAGGAATGCTGTCAGCTGCACTGCAATGTAAAAATTCAAACTATTTGCATTATGGCTATAATAACAGATAAAAGCCCATATATATAAAATAGTATGTAATATTTTTTATATTTTTATTAATATGTATATTATGTAATATTATGTAATATTTATGTATATGTAATATTTTTCCAAAAAGTTTTATTTGGAGAATACATTTGACCGTGTTATTAAATCATTAGAGTTTTGTATTTGAGTGGTAATTGTAAATGTGAAAATAAGGGAAGTGAGCATGCACAATTAAATATTTATCAACAATGACTGATAACAATAAACTACAAAATCTTTTGACCTAGAGTAATTTTAGTATCAAGATACTATTATAGTTTTTATTAATATTTTATATATAAAACACACACACACACACACACATATATACTGTATATAAATATGTTTATATACACATATATTTCATTATATTTCAGTTAACGTTGGTATTTTATTTTATTTTATGTAAAAAATATATTTTTATATTAGTTAATTATAGATAAACAGTGCATAATATTTACTCTTATTTTTATTATCCTAAAATCATGCCATTTGGTCCACAATTACATGCGATTTAGTCCGTCTTTTACAAAAAATTAAACAAACAAGAAAACACCAACATTTGTTTTGTTGACACATGGGATGCTTTTAGGTCATTTATGTGCTTGGAAAGGGGTTACAATTAAATTCATATTGGGGATATCCAATAAAAGCACATTGCAAATGTATAAAAGTATTTCCAAAATCATTATTATTATTTTATCCGTTCATTATAATATCACAGATACTGAAGGTGTTTTTTTGTTTTGCCATGCGCTGAGTGACGTCTGAATTACGTCACCATGTCGGAAGTGAATCCGGACAAATCGAAGGCGCTGAAACCTGAAGATAAAATGAAAACACAAGCATGAAGCAAGCGACCCAACGAGAGAAACTGCGCTTTTTTGTTTCATTAAGGAGCAGGTATTTTATCGCCGTGCCAGAACAGCACGTCTCGACCCTGTCATGTCTGTGTTTGTTGTGTATTTGAAACAGGCGATGTGTGAATTGATGCATGGCCCTTCAACAAGCTGTTGCAGTTTGTGCATAACCCAAGTGATGTTCTGTTTACTAAACGAACATGATAGTTAGTTTCAGGGGGAACAAATGCATGTATTTACTTATTTGGGATAATAATCGTCAAGCTTTAATCTGTTTCTAATGCTCTGCTTATCCATTGCATTCAAGCACTGTGTTATGTAACGAGTTATTAAAGGTGTTTTACATTTACAAAGGTCAGTCAGATACTTTTGACGATAAACTATCACATCTGAGTGCTTAACAAGACAAATACTTAATGGTAAAGTGATGGTTTGAGAAAGTGAAGAAGATGCATGGTATCATTACCATGATAGCCTACATATGTCCAAAAACACACAAGGAACAGATTGTTTAAAACAAAAAAAAGTACTGTAGTTGTTTAGTGACTTGCTAAAATGACTATATAACACTAGATATTTTCCTGCATTTATGTGCATTTTGATTAAATGTAGTGATTTAATGATATACCAGATGGGCCGATTAATTGTATGTATCTGCCTATTTTGAGATTATATTAGAGATTAGGTACATCGTTTCAAATTATGCAGACAGCCTTGTTAATTTAGTTCTGATTTAAATGGTCAATTGTGAGTAAATTGTATGTAAAACCAAGTGATTCATCTATTCATGTATTTTTCTGAATCTGCATTCTATTGACAATGATCCCTTATTGTTTTCTTTAGAAATAAACATCTGTGGTGGTAGATATTGGCTATTTAAACACCTACAAGACTCAAGCTTCAATTTCAGTTTCATATCTGTTGATCGTGTAAACATTATTTCAATCAACCAATCAAATTGAATTAGTTTAAATTGAAATAGTCAAGTTTAGGCTTACAACCAGGTTATGTGCTTCTACATCATTGTCATCCACCTTTCATTTCCCTCTGATTTCAGGGATAAGTTATTGGTAGGGTTAGGACTACATTTTTTGGAAAGAAAGTTCTTCCAGGATCAATAAAATGTTGACTCAGGAACACATTTTAGTAGGCAAAATCACATTGACCATTCACTGACTCGATTAGATAATGTTATTTTTATGTCGCCTCAGAAAAACCTCCATGCAATGTTTTGGGAGCATTGTTTTATGGTTATAAATAATACAACCTAAGTACCTAACCATTTTTTTTTTACTTTTATTATTGTGTTTTTCAAAAGTAACCAAATGGGAACCAAATACTCGCGTCATGTGAATGTGCCGTGTTTCCTTTTTCGGATCGTTTTATTGTTCAGGTTTAATAGAGTAGCCCAGCTGACCTGACCAACAAAGCAACAAAGGTAAAGTTGATAGTCATAACAAGCTCTCTCAATACATAAAACTCTGCAGTAGGTAACTTAAATCCTGTCTTTGTGCACTCATCTGTTGTATACTTCAGTATAGTCGTGTCTTGTCTTTAGCTGCTGGTCACTATTATGCTTTCTTTGTTACTGAAACCTCTGATCTATTAGAAGATTATTGACTCTCTCTTGGGCAGGTTTTTGCTGTGCAGACACACCTTGAGTGGTTCACTTATAATGGAGATTATGCCACATACTCTTGGTTCTTTAAGTTCTTTACATTGTAACATCGGCATCTAACTACTGGCCTGGCAGCAGAAAACAGTGTTTTTTAGTCGCTTTGGTGGATCCGTGTTAGGGATCGTTTTTACAACATGTCGTCTGTATGACTTTTTTAGTACATCCTTGTCGTGCAAACATACCCGTACTCATCATCATTTTAAATCTGTATGCTTTTCTTTCTTCTGAGGAACACAACAGAAGATATTTTGAAAATCAATGAGGTCCAAATCATTTTGGACCCCATTGACTTTCATTGTTTTTGAGAACAAAAAACATTTTCCACTCATTCATTTACCACAATTGAAATGTTGTGAATGCTATTCTTTTCATTTCTGAACTTTCATTCTTAGCTTGTTTTAATAAGCTTTGTAAACTTGTTTTTTTCTTTGACATTTTTGAGCCAGTCGAGATTTTTTTCTGTGATATTAGAAATCATGTTACAGATTAGCTCATATTGGACCCTTTAAATAAATGCAAATTTAATTTGCAAATTTGAACCAACCCAACACTTTTTCTTATGCACACGTTTCACACACTTTGTACTTTCCGTGCCACCAAATCTCATTCAAATCACTCGTTCACATGATTACGTAATACTAACTACTGTACATGTTGCAGTGTCTTGACAGTCCACTCGTGAATGTAACTTTTGAAACATTAAACCTCATTATGGATATACCTGTAACCATACATTACTGACTTAATGGTGGACCTCACTCACTAGTATCAGTATTAAACTTGGTAAATGACTTTTCTATCTCTACTAGTTAGTAGAAAATCTAAAAAACATTTAAACAAAGAGTAACCCTGCCCTTTCACGAGGGTGTGTTTCATGAATCGCCTCATGGACTGTGCCTGGTGATGGCAGAGTCCACAGAAATGCACAACTTGAAGGGTTTACTCTGTTGAGGTTCGTTTTAACCCATCATTAGCAGGACAAAACTACCAAAATGTTAGTTATTAAGCAAACGCAAAACAGACAGCCAGACTTCCGTGATGGTGAGTGTTGTGTGCTCATTGTTTTTTTCTCTTTTTTTAATGAATCCAAACCGGTTCTGTGTTTGCCGTGAATGAACAGTTTGAATTCGTCTTTTATATTCGCTTCAGCCTTCTCTAATCTGTTTATTAGGCACAGAATAAGTGTTCTTTTATTACACCCGAAGCTGAGCGAGTGTGATATTTTAAGCAGCTTTGTAATACAGTGTGCTGAGGCTCACAACGATGCTGTAGCTAATGATGTCGGTAAATTGAGATTGCGAGCTCTGGTGACTTTATTAATGACTAGGGCTGTCTGTTTTGATTTTAATGTTATTAATAACATATGCTTATTAATTGCATTTATTGCAGTTAATTACTTGTGTCATTATTTGAAAAGAACAACAAAAAATTTAATCAAAACAAAATTAAGATAATGTAGGACATTGTATTATTGTGGATGGACAAGTAATGCCTTATTCACACTGACAGCTATTTTAGAGCATCACAGTAGCATCAACAGGATAGTTCACCAAAATCATTTACTCGCCCTCATGTCAGTCTTGAACTTGGATGACTCCCCCCACAAAATTACGTCAAAAGGCGAGTATCCTATATAGTAAAGATTGTTTATCATACAGTTAGTTGTGTAATAGTATACTTGATCGAGCTCTTAAAGGGACAGCAGCCTAATACACTTGCTGTTGTCTTTGTTCTAACAACAAAGGTCAAAGAAAAAAAAAAATACAGTACCATTCAGTATAACTTTTAAAATTATTATTATTTTGTGATTATTATTAAATAAGTTTAGCAAAATAAGAAATTATTGTAAAACTGCATTGCATAAATTATGAATACAATGAAATTAAATAATAATAATTATTAATAATATTTAATAAAAATAATTTAATTTTACAATACAACTCTAAAATGTAAATACTAATTTAATGTCTTTAATTTAAACTTTAAACCATCAAGATTGATGTTGGCCACACGTGTTTTTAAAAACTGTTTATTTTGTCTAATATAGGCTATGTTTGTATTCAAAATATAGTAACTAGATAAATATCTCAAAAGTGCTATAAATAAAAAGAAAAAAGCATTTAAAAAAATGTTCTAAATATTTTATTCAATACAAAAATTTAAAACTATGCAGAATTGATTTGAACTGTTTACAGAAATCAGTTTTTAAGATACACTCATTCAAAAAAAAAAAAAAAAAAAGGGGGGGTGAAAATGCCATGTAAAATATTCAATTACATTTGTGGTGAAACAGATTACATTTTGCTTTTGAATATTGATTGAACATTGAATTGGTTAAAATATAAAATAAATAGACCCTATCAGAACAATTAATAATAAAATAAATATAAAATAAATTAAAAAAGCCGATGAGCAGATGCGTCCGTGTATTTTCATTTAGACATAACGTTGCGTGCGCGTGTGGCTGAATGTACTCGTATCTGCAAGTGTATAAACGAGAAAGAAATTAATGGTAAAAAGTAGGGCTGTGCAAAAGTTAATTGCGATTAATCGCATCCAAAATAAAAGTCTGTGTTTACATAATATATTTGTGTGCGCTGTATATAATTATTTTGTATATATAAATACCTATGCATGCATGTATATATTTAAGAATTATTTGCGCTTAAATTCTGTATACATCTATAAATACATAATCTATATTATATAAATATAAATATTTTATATATGAATAACACATTTTCTTAAATATATACATGCATGTGTGTGTATTTATATATACAAAACAATTATATACAGCACACACAAATATATTATGTAAACACAGACTTTTATTTTGGATGCGATTAATCGCAATTAACTTTTGCACAGCCCTAGTAAAAAGATAATAACGATAAGAAGGAACAAATAGCATATGGGAGTAAAATGCAATGTCAAATGACGCAGCTTTTGACGTCACACAATGATAAAGCAAAACTGGAACTTTTTTTTCATTGGAACACAATATTGCTGTTTTTACTGTATTTTGGATAAACTACTTAAGAGACTTTTTTTAAAAACATAAAAAAAAATCTTACCGATCTAAAACTTTTGAACGGTAGTGCATATTATTACTTGGATCACTGTCAAATCATTTATCATTTATTTACTGTTGTTTTCCATAGTTTATTTAGCCTATATTGCCTCCCCTATATGTGACTATTAATGTGTTTTGTTCTAAATATGTGTGTTCAGGTGGTGAGGAGGCGATGACCAAGGAGGATGTGCTGAGGGAGTCTTCAGAGGGAGACTCGGTCCTGCGGCAGTACAGTATTATTACCCATAACTCTGAGCGCCCGGTGATCCATCAGGTGGCATCAGCGCCCATGCCTTCAGACTGCGGTGAGCGTGTGGGTCTGTGGGTCTGTTTCACTTTCAGCTTCTGTGAGAATGTTCTCATGCAAGCTTTTAAGTAGGTCACACAAAAATGCTGACACTCAAGTTATTTTTCACATCAAATTCACAGCGATTTGTTTTTGTTTTTTTTTGGGGGGGGGGGGGGGGTCGTAAGGCTTCCTGGCCAATAAACAAACAACTTATTTAGCTGTTTTGTGAAGTGTGGCTTTATTTATGGAGTACATGTTTAGACCCTAAATTGTGGACACTGCTTAAGCTGCTGTAAAGCTGAAGTATTGACAAGGTCACAGAAATTCTTTTCCAATTTTCTGCCTGTCAGCACTGATACATCATTCTCTCTCTGTACTCGCTTCTCATTCACTCTCACACTTCAGTTTAATTCACTTCAAACTGAGCTGTTTAACTGAATTTGAGCGATCGGGGCTCTGGCTCAGCATGGATAAATTGAGATGAATTGGTTTAAATCATTTAGATTGACTCATGCAAATGTTTAGTTTGATTGAACCGTTCTGTTTTGCAGAGTTCTCGTTCTTCGACCTGAATGATCCGCTGTGTCGGGAGGTTCTGTTGGATCCTCGGACCACTGTGCCCGAGCTCTTCGCTGTTCTCAGGCAGTGGGTTCCCCAAGTCCAGCGGAATATAAGTGTCATCGGCAACGAGGTCAGAATCTCAAACTCGCGGCCTTTAAAGACAATGTGAAACGTCCCGATAATTGACCTATGGCTAAGCCACGCCCTCAAACCCGATGAGCCAATCACAGTGCGCCGTGTGTATTTTTTTACCCTTTCCCAAGCCACATCTCAACCGAGATAAGTGTCTGCTCTGGATTAAGTAATGTGGTCGACCACAACACCAACTAAACGTGGATAAATTAAACAAGGATGTCTACGTCTGATCTAAGTTAAGTCAACAACGTATTTGAACGTTATCTTTAAAATTTAGCTTCTAGTTGCGTTGTACATCTTGTCAGTTAGCTTTATTAACGTATCTGTAAATAACCGAGATAACAAATGTTAACAAAGTTGTGCTGAATGATTGATGTGAATACCGTAGCACCAATCGGTGATGGCAACGATATGCGGTTTATCACGTTTACACTGTGACCTGTACATTTTTGCCTGGAGTTGAAGCTTTTCATCGACCTTCTCAATAACAAAATTATTAATATAACCCTCCAATGCATAGTTAAGGCCCTTTAGGTGACTTCGAGATGATATGTAATCTTTCTGTCTCCTAAAATCACCAATTGCCTCCTGTGAAACGTCTCCAACTGTGACAGCTGCCATAGCGCCTGTCCCCGAATTTTGACTGTGTCCGAGTGAGTGGAGGGGGCGTGGCTTAGACATAGATCAATTATTGTATCGATGTGATTTTTCACATTGTATACTGTATCTATGGAAGCTTGTTTCTGCCACAGAGTGAAAAAAAAATGTAATTGTGACTTTTTTTCTCACAATTGCGAGTTTACATCTTACAATTGCGTGATATAAAGTCACAATTGTATGTTATAAAGTCGAAATTGTGAGATATAAAGTCGGAATTATCTCTATTGCGACTTTTTTTTCTTCAGAATTGCATATTTATATGTTGCGACTTTAATGTTCTGGGTTTATAACACGCAATTGGGAGATTTAAAATCATAAGTGTATGATATAAAGTCGCAATTGCGAGAAAAAAAGTATCTTTATAATTTTCAGAATTGCGAGATGTAAACTTCTAATTGTAAGATAGAAAGCCGTAATTATCTTTTAAAATGTTTTATTCTGTGGCGGAAACAAGCTTCCATATATATCCCCCTGAATACCAGAAAAAAAAGCTTTTTTTTTTAATCATAAGAAACATATGAAGAAGCATCTTTGTTTTTTAAAGATATTTTATTCATATTTTATGCTGTGTCCTCTGTACACCAGGACTACTACTTATTAAAAAACAAAAAGACACACACACACATATATATATATATATATATATATATATATATATGAAGAGTTCAGATGCAAAAGCCTCTAAATGCCATTTGAATTTTTCTACTTTAATGATGATTTTTGTCAAACTTGTATATTTAAGTTCAGTAATTTCACTTAAATAACAATTAATAGGTAATTATCATTGCCATTTAAGTGAAATTACTGAACTTAAATATACAAGCTTGATAAAAATCATCATTAAAGAAGAAAATTTCAAATGGCATTTAGAGGCTTTTGCATCTGAACTCTTCATATATATATATATATATATATATATATATATATATATATACACACACACATTTAACTAAATATTACTATGACTTTTGCCTCAATAAACTCCTTTTTACTGCTTATTAAGTTTAGGTCATACCTGTCAACACTCAACACCTGATTCTCCAGTTTTTTTATCCCTATCCCCCGGACCCCTCCTGGTTTGTTATTTCTCCCGTAATTTGCATTGCCCGAACTCCTTTATGAATAACTGGACCAATATGTTTGTCTAATGTTGACCAGTTGCAAGATCTTGTATTAAATGCATTATATTCACACAATCCACACACCATTTACAATTTCAACCTGGCAACCTATACCCCAGTTGGACAGTCGCGGAAAGCTCAACCCGAAAGCTATGGGTAGGATTAAGAGGTGTAGAATATTGCCATGCAGAATAAGGCTTTAAAATGTGCTTTGTAAGTACTAATAAACAGCCTAGTATTGTGCATGCTAATAATAGTGAGAATTGCACCTTAAACTAAAATATTACCATAAATACTGTAACAAATTATTGCTCATTGTTAGGCAATATGTTAATAAATGAGACCTTATTGTAAAGTGTTACCAAATCAACCGTAAGGTC